TTTTTCAGCTGTAAATCCAAGATTGGTAAAACTTTTATTAAAACCATTTCGGCGATTTCGCCTTCTTCGGGGTCTGAAAAAGTCGAGTGTTTAGAGAACATCCCGTCAGCCACCGCATCACGACAGAGAAATAAGCTGACCTGTCAGTGAACCAAAAAAAATCAAATAACAAGTGCAGGTCAATGCTATCTAACCGTCAACAATGATCAAGTGTTTATTATGCCGAAAACTGACCAACGCTTTCATTTACAACCCTAGTGATCCGGTCTCGGTCTGCTGTTATCGCAGAAGCCACAAGCGTCTGTTACGGGGTCACTTGGGTGATGGCTAAACACTCATCTTTCCTATTCATTTTAGGACTTTCAGTCGCGATCCAAAACGCCTTTAAAGTTTTGCGTGTGAGGATCTCGGGTTCATAAGCTAAGATTGTAACCTCCATGTTTATTTCTGCATCATTGTGGCTCTGTCGGCGGTGCATGCCCAATGGCGTAGTAGGATTCGATTTTCTAAGTCCGTTTAAGTGTTCTTCAATACGTGTGAATAACGGGCGCCCAGTTTCACCTATATATGATTCTCTGCATGACTGACAGGTAAATATGGTACACTACACCAGAAACCATACAGTCACCTTGCTTTCCGAATGGGCAAATATTACGACTGGGAGTCGTACATAGTCTGTCATAGGCTCGATTGAACAATTTGATGTTTGACAGGTGGTATGTCAACGACTCGTACCCAATCCTGTAATTCTGCTCGGTCTATCAACTTTCTGACTGTCATACTTAGTTCTTCTGACACAAATGGTAAACAGAATGGAATTTTTGTTTTGGTTGCCGCAGTTCTGGTATTGTCATTGCGCTTGCGTAATCCATGGTTGCGCTTTTTTGGTAAGGTACCCATATGAACTTGCTACCGTTTCTGCCAATGCTAGCGAATAGATTTTTTCTGTGGTTCCGGACGAGACGTTTGCAGCTGTTCTATACATGTCGCCAATTACCGACTTTTTGATGTGGGCCGGATGCGCTGAAACGTAAGGTTTACGATATCATCTTGTTTTGAATTCCTCGTCTATCGATCGAATCTCAACGTTTAAAAATGCTAGCCAATCGTTCATGAGTTTGTCTCGAGTCTCGAGTCAACTTGATATGCGGAAACTGCTGATTTTTTCTGTGGTTCCGGACGAGACGTTTGCAGCTGTTTTATACATGTTGCCAATTACCAATTGCAAGTACACCAATCTTCACTCAACTTGCACGGCGTTTCTATTAGAGGGATTATGACCCTTCTAAATAAGTGCCTTCATTGCTCAATATTTCGGTGGTCCGGGCACTATTATGAGCAAATTAGAGGCCTTGCCACGGGACTTTAGCCCCAACGCTAGCTATCGTATCTATGTCGAAAGCGGAAGCTCCAGTCCTTGAAAGAAGACCTTTGCTTTACTGTCGTTATGTAGACGACTGTTTCATTGTATGTCCAACTCAGGCCGAACCTCGACCTTTGTTACGAGATTTTGAATCAGCAGTTTCCGCATATCAAGTTGACTCGAGACTCGAGACAAACTCATGAACGATTGGCTAGCATTTTTAAACGTTGAGATTCGATCGATAGACGAGGAATTCAAAACAAGATGATATCGTAAACCTTACGTTTCAGCGCATCCGGCCCACATCAAAAAGTCGGTAATTGGCGACATGTATAGAACAGCTGCAAACGTCTCGTCCGGAACCACAGAAAAAATCTATTCGCTAGCATTGGCAGAAACGGTAGCAAGTTCAAATGGGTACCTTACCAAAAAAGCGCAACCATGGATTACGCAAGCGCAATGACAATACCAGAACTGCGGCAACCACAACAAAAATTCCATTCTGTTTACCATTTGTGTCAGAAGAACTAAGTATGACAGTCAGAAAGTTGATAGACCGAGCAGAATTACAGGATTGGGTACGAGTCGTTGACATACCACCTGTCAAACATCAAATTGTTCAATCGAGCCTATGACAGACTATGTACGACTCCCAGTCGTAATATTTGCCCATTCGGAAAGCAAGGTGACTGTATGGTTTCTGGTGTAGTGTACCATATTTACCTGTCAGTCATGCAGAGAATCATATATAGGTGAAACTGGGCGCCCATTATGCACACGTATTGAAGAACACTCAGACGGGTTTAGAAGATCGAATCCTACTACGCCATTGGGCATGCACCGCCGACAGAGCCACAATGATGCAGAAATAAACATGGAGGTTACAATCTTAGCTTATGAACCCGAGATCCTCACACGCAAAACTTTAAAGGCGTTTTGGATCGCGACTGAAAGTCCTAAAATGAATAGGAAAGATGAGTGCTTAGCCATCACCCAAGTGGCCCCGTAACAGCCGCTATGTGGCTTCTGCGATAACAGCAGGCCGAGACCGGATCACTAGATCTGTAAATGAAAGCGTTGGTCAGTTTTTGGCATAATAAACACTCGATCATTGTTGACGGTTAGATAGCATTGGCCTGCACTTGTTATTTGATTTCTTTTGGTTCACTGACAGGTCAGCTTATTTTTCGGTCGTGATGCGGTGGCTGACGGAATGTTCTCTAAGCACTTGACTTTTTCAAACCCCCAAGAAGGCGAAATCTCCAAAACGTTAGTCTTAATAAAAAGTTTTACCAGTCTTGGATTTACAGCTGGAAAAAGAAGATCAGTGAAATATAACTATCATGCCAAGATTAATAGATAGTCGAACATGGATCAATATTCATATCATTTTGAACAGCAAAAAACAAATCTGCACAGAGAAGAATTTTCCCAAGGGAAAACGGTTATGGAATTCAATTTATTCAAGATGCAAAAAATTGTTCAAATATCAGAATGCTTTTTGGTAATCAAAATCGGAGGAGAACGTACAAGACACGACGAAAAAAGTTTGTGAACATTAGCATTTCAAGACTCAGTGATGTTAAGCGAGCTGAAGAAGCCAGGGTAGGTCAGATAAATGAGCCGAAGTAGATCAAAAATTGAGTCAGCTCGCTTAACACACTAAGTCTTAAAATGCTATTTTTAACAGACTTTCTTCATCATTATTTATCGTACATTTTCTCATTTGGATCCCAGAAAAAATTCTGACAACTAAACACTTTTATTTTGAATTATTTCAACTTCGGGTTTTAAAGCCTTTGGGAAAACTCTACTCTTTATAATTTGTTTATTTGCTTTTTATCAGCGGTTTATAGGATTTTTTGTTGCTCAAAATGATATAAATATTGATAATTTTGCGCTGGCCCTGACGCTAATATCACATCTCAGTGCGACGAGGTGCGAGGATACCTTTCGGCAAAACGTTTCAGACGGTTAGCGTAATTATTTCACCAAACGATGGCAATATCCCTCAAAAGCAGCAATGTCGCTAAGATATCCATACTGAAGGATGGCCCGCCATTTGTCGCATCATAAATCTAACGCAAAACGCGGGACGACCATACCGTGAAGTGCTCGCACGGCGGATCTGGAACACATGTCCAACAAGAAAATCGCGCAGCGACCAGAACCGCTTAGGTATGTAGGCTTAAAAGTGCTGCGACATCCACCTTGCCATCTAAGAAATAATAGTTTTTTTAGTGATTGCATCATTCAGTGTCGTTATGTGCTCGTTGCAATGAAATTTTTTTGAAAAAAGATAACTTTTATTCTCTTATATAAAGCATAACGTATAATTATAAAATTTAAACTCATTTTAGACTCGCCTATTTATTCGAAGAGTTTACGGGTTGTTTATTCGTCCACGCCCATGTACTTCCCAACCCCATTTTTCCCCATTTATTTTTACACTTATTTTATCGTTTGCTTAGAGTTGTATACCATTAACTCTTCTTAATCGCAATTATGGCTTTCCATAAGCATTAAAATCCTCGAAGATATATCAGAAAAGACTCATACAAGGCAAACTTTGCTGTTGTATTACCAAAGCTTTACATATACAGTTACATGGGGGAAAAACAGCAGACATCGCTTTGGCAATGTGTGAATTTTCTCTCTTATATCCTAGCTTAGAAAAAATAGATATATACAAAGTGCGTCAAAGTCTAAAAGCCTAAATACTTTTCTCAATAAATCTACAGGGAAAAACATGGAAACAAAAAATTTGGTGCTTGCGTAATTCAACCAGTTACAAATACAAATCAGCTCTTGATTTCGAAATAGCTTCTCTTGATTCTAGCGCAGGCATTCAAAATCTTAGAAAATGCAATTGTCGTAAGTCACACAGTCTTAATGAGATTTGGCCTAATGCCTTCAGATCAACAGCTGTTCTATTTACGAAATGTGCAGCTTTATGGAGCAAAGTTTTGGCCACGACAGACTGTATAGAATTTTTTTGCAATACCTGGAAATAAAAATATTGGGAAGTAAATGAGATGCTTGGCTTCGCTCGCACACTATCAGCAAAATATCATGAAGCTAGCCACTCCATCCCATTCAGCCAAAAACGATAAGCTTTCATTTTTCATAGATATGAGTGAACGAATTGATATTTTGCAAGAAGTGGATGACCGCTAGTGTCGAATACGTGTGCAGAGTTTCAGCCTAACCGGCACGCGCAAGGCCCTCTATAGGTCACACAACACGCACATCTGTTATGGCAACGAGTCCAGTAGCTTTACCACTTACCATAAATTATCGAAAAAAATATGCCTTTGCATATTAACAACTTATACAATTTCCAAGTATATTTGTTTTACGTTTCTATGACCCTTTGAATGCAATCGAAGAATCATAATAAATCTTGCATGACCGCTGACATTAACAAAAACCCTCAACCCTACCGTAAGGCTCATGCGCTACCCTGCAGCTTAAAGATTATACTATAAGCAACGAAGACGAATTTTCAAAAAGTATACATCTTTTAGTATGGTTGTGTGACAGAAACCATAAAGCATCGTACAAATTGGAGAAAGGGACTGAGAAGTCGGACATAGTTTGGAACCTTGGGTTATTTGCTTCAAGAGTATTAATTTAGAGAGCAAACAAACTTTCTGGGGGAGAAAAACGTAAATTGTGTTTGGCCATGGCCTTTGTTGGTAAAAGTGAACTAATTCTCTTGGATGAACCAACCGCGGGAATGGACACCCGATCGAGGTTATTTGCGAAAAAGTTCATTGAAAAGGAAAAAAACAGAAGGCAAGGAGAGTGACGGCATTCATATCTTTGAATAATTAAATATTAAACAGGGCAATAGTTCTCACCACGCATTACCTGGACGAAGCGGAAGCAATGGGGGATTGGATGTATATAATGCATATGGGACGTTCCGTTTGTAGTGGATCTCCATACTTTCTCCAACAAAAGTCAGTCATTTGCAAGAAAAAGAGAGGTTTTTTATAGCATTGTCTCTATACAATCGTAGTTTTTCTGTTTTACTCTACAGGATGCCACAAAAAATGTGAAAACTGTTTGATCATTCATAACACCCTTGCTTTCATGTCTTTCGCCAGCTTGAGGTATCATTTTGTAGAGCGAGGTTTAGCTGAGATACAGTTTGGAGCACACAATCGCTCTTCATACTGTAGGATTAGGTAAAAAATTCCAGCATATGGAACCATGAAATTTGCCAACAAACAAATTTCTTTCAAGGAAAAATTTGAAGAATTGTGTACTAGGTTTTTCGCGGACGCTGATTCCACTATATAAATTTTTAGTGACTTTTTCTTGCTGACTTTTTCTTTTTGGTGTTTTCACTTTTTGACGGAGTAATCACATTTAACACGGTCTACCTGGGATAACTTTGGAAAAAAGCATCACAGTAAAGTGGCAATTTCATATTCGAAATCAGCGGCTTCCATTACCATAGTATAAAAGTTTTTGATGTGGTAAAATTTTGTACCGAGACAAAATATGGCCTTCAATGACCTCGAATCGCTGTTGGAGTTACTACCGTAACTCCACAGTAATGAGATGCAACCTTGCTTTACAGTATGGTTTTTCAAGTTCGGCGAAAGACATGAAAGTAAGGAAGTCATTGACAATCAAACAGTGTTCCACATTTCCTTGAAAACCTCTGTATAATTCTTGTCTTCAACATTAAACAATGCTCTTCTCTTTCAGGTTTGCGCCCGGGAATATACTTACTGTAGTTTTCAAAGAAAGTGTTCTTGCAGAAAATGTAGAGAATGCAAAAAAAGTGAGTTGCTCACCTCTCTGCACATTAGCGAACCTTTTCAGCAAAGGCACGTGCTTATTTTATTCAATACTCTTATCCATTTTGTCTCCATAACTATGGCCCGTAGTAAAGCTCGGTCACAGGAGATGATTTCCCCTGAGGCCCTCATATGAGGCTTTGTCGGGTGAGATGAGGACTGCCCACTTTTCCGTGGTGTAAGTATGCAAGGTCACCCTACAGGTGAGCTTCAGATGAAGCCAGGCAGGGAGATCAGCTCCCGACCGAGTCAGCGGAGATGAGCCGGGCGACGACATAGGATAAATACTGTGCTAAAGAGGAGAGCACAGAGAAAATCTCAGTAAGTTGCTTCCGAGTAACTTACAAAACACCGCAGCTGACATTCTTTTGCGGTGCAAACTCCAGAACTGCACAATTTCGGGCGCCTAAGTGAGTGAGGATCGGTGAACAGCTGATTGCGCGACGAAATCGGAAAAAAGGTTTTTTTGCATTTTTCTTGCAGTTTTTGCTTGTTTTTCTTTAAGAACCGCTTCAGATGCCAAAAATGTAGATTTACCTCTCTTTTCATTTTTCGCCAAGTGTAATTTTCCTCGTATAAATGCCAAAACAATGTGTATTTGTTTTATCTCTTTGTTTGCTAAGTAAAATCCCTGATAGCTGCTATCATCGGTTTTTCGATAACGGCCTATCAAAGGTCGCCAGGCTAAGTAGCAAAAATTGTCCCGTTAGCCGCGTTTGAGCCACGGCTCTGCCGGCTTGAAATGCATTAGTCTTATCCATTCGACTAGTAATGCACAAATGGCAGGAACGTTCCACGTTGAAAACGCGATCGTCCAGTAAGTGATCTGCTCGAAATCCACCGCTCCCCTGGCAATGTGCTGAGGCGCGATGAGATCAACCCCGGTCCACCTCAAGAGAGATGCCCTGATGGGGATTTACTATGGGCCTATATTCCACATTTATTTACAAAAATTAAGTGAGAGCCTCCCTTTTGTTACGTACGGGCCCAAACGCGTCCAACCAACACTGCCTCGTCCGGATGCAAGATCTTTTTCTTTGTTAATCTGAGCGAAGAGTTTTTTGCTACTGTATTGTCATCACGTCGTAAAAGCCAGACCATCGCAACCTAACTTCAGTTTTATCCGCGATTGGAGCAACTCCAAGGATGTGTCGCACACCGATGTTCAAACCTCAAAAATTTCGGGCTGGTAAAGTATCACAACCGAAATGCAAGTTGATCGGCTGGAATGTTGTTGTAACAGTTGTCTTTCGCGATTTAGTCGCGACGATCAAATCGCGTGAAGTCTGCCCGGGGCCTTAGGCGAAGCAATCTTATCATGCCTATCGCCTTTATGGTCTGGTCTGCTCGTGTTCCGTAGCGAAGCGCGAGCAAAACTCAAAGCCAAAAGTGCGAGTTTCTAGCTAAAGGCGAGAGGCGAAGCTGTAGAGGGTCGAAATTGGAAATGCTCGCTCTGGAAAGCGGCTTTTTCTCCGCTGTGGCTACGCGCTTCCCGGTGGACTCCTTGTGAGTGAATGTTGTTTTGGCTTATGTCTTTTATTATTGTGGTGTTTCGATATACTTAATTATGTAGTCGCTCTGCAAGTTCTTATGATCTTAATGTGCTTTATATATTTACTCTACATTGCTTTTGCTGCTTATAGATAAAGGTGTGGTCAAAAGATTCTTAGTTTTGGCGAGTAGAAAAGGAAGCATAAAGGGCCGGAATTGTGTTTAAATTTCATTAATGTCGACGCCCGCCCAGTTATGAAAATAAACACCGCGGAACAGCGGGCGTTATACGTAGTTGCTGACCAACACTCTGTTGCCCTGTAAGGAGCGACTGATAGTACCATTGTGTAGTGAATTTCAATTTGAGGGGACAAAGATAGAAAGGAAAGTAATCAGGGCGCAATGAAATAGTCTCAATAGAAAAAGAAGGCGGCAGAGCAGAAGAAAGGGAGCAGGCAAGGAAAGAATCGTTGACCTAGATACCTGATCCGTCAGCACATACCCACAAAAATAATTCGCAAGATAAATAGCCATTTAAAAGAAGAAAAAGACATGAAATAAAAACTAAATGAGAATGGCAAGAAATTTTCGGCAGGAAGACCAAATTACTTTTTGAGAAAAGAAAAATTTAGAGCAGAAAATAGCGAAAACAGGAAAAGTAAACAGATCGCTAGAAAAAACCGACTACTCAGCGCGCCGGCAAGAATGCGAATAACTTACGTGCTTGTATTTCATAGATTGGGTTTAGTTGGTAAACTGCCGAGCGATAATGCCTCTGCTGCTTTTTTTTTGCAATAACATTCAATGGGCACAGCGCCGTTAACCAACATCATCTGTGCCTCAAAAAAAATAGCACTTATCGCCCACCTCTCTGCTAATGTACTGTGATTGCTCAGTGAGGAGCTCAAAACCCCTATCCACTTCAGATTGAGTCGATATAACAGTAAAACAAATGTCTGTGTAGTATACTTGGGTATCGAAGTTTTTCAACAAAGAATGAATATCGAATAAATTCGAAAATAAAAAGTCTCGAATAGACGAATATTGATTGATTTCGACATTTAAAATTTTCGAATGAATGAATGCCCAATAAAATCGAAAAAACAAAAAAATCGAATGAATGAACAAGTTCATAACAAATATATTCAAACGTTGGAAGTCGAAGTTTATTCTGCGAAGCGAGCACGAATGCCCCTATGGCCCCGGGGATACTATAGGCATTTCAGTGGCGACGAGGTTTGGCAATAGTCGAATTGCCTACAACTTATCCTGCTAAAAGTACGGAACGCAAAGCATTGATCGATTTAGTAAGTTGCACACGCTATGCTTATGTGGTAAGCTGGCGTTACATTTGAAGACATCTCGTAAGTGGCAAATCGCGTACGGCTATCGCGTGAAGTATGTCATAATCGAAGCTCGCATTTCTAAATGTGGATTTTATTCTTCCACCTTTAGCCTTTACTATAGTTAGTGGGCTGATAGCTCTCGGTGTTAAAGTGCCTGCAAGCCTCGTGAAAATCTTGGATGCATTGTGATAACGGAACTATCATGTACTATCTACTACAAAACTTTATTGCAAGGTGATACTTACTTAGATACTTAGATACTTAGATGGCCCGTCCTCACGTGACGTGCGGGCCCCAAGAAGTTGCCATTAATCCCTGTCCCTCGCTTCGGACATCCACGATCTTCTTGGTCGTCGTCGGTGGCTGCGTCCACGAGTTCCAAGGGCGAGAATCGTATCCAGCTGATTTCTCAGCTGGTCCATCCGTTCCACGAACAAGGTGATGTAACTGCAAAATTCAGCAAGCGTCTAATCCTCCACTACAGCTGCGATGTCCTCTACTCAAAATACACCATTTCGTGAAAAATCTCTAAGGTAAGAATAGAGACAGTTGTGCAACATGATTTTTGCAAGCAAGAGTGCTCACTAGTGTGGACCTTGCGTACCACAAGCATGAGCAATGCAAAGAAAGAGAAACAGGCATGTCAACACACTTTCAGCATATGGGCTCGGGATATGAGCTTGAATTTGATAGCTGTTTTTTTTGCTGATTTGGTGCCAGCAGTAGTGCAAACTATCTCATTGATCGAAAAAGCATCAATCAAAATTTACGGTGATTTTTTTACTGTCGCAAGCAGTCGGAAAAATACGACTCTCCATACAGTTCAAAGGTCACAACGGTTGCAAAAGTGCATTACCGAGTTTTGCAAAAAACGCAGACGAAGGGAACATGATACTCAGCAGTTGGTTCTGCAACAAAGTCAAATAATCTGAATACGGAGTTCATTCGAATACAAATTCGAATAAACATTTGAATAAAATATTCAAATAAAATCTATTCGAAACCCCGTTTTTTGATTATTCGAGTTTTCGAATTTTATTCGAAACCCTGTTTTTTTGATAATTCAATTCAAATTTTATTCGGAAACCCGTTTTCTCATTTATTCGATTTCGAATATTATTCGAAAATGGAAAGACTCCGAATATCGAATTTCGAATGTGAATATATTTGAATGTTTTATTCGAATGATCGAATTTCTATTCGATTCGGACCCAAGTATACCGTATAGCAGCAGTACAATAATTGGCGTTGTGTTTGCTCATAAAGCATATAGCAAGAACTAAAGCTGATCTCTGTTTTAATGTCAGCCATTTTAACTGTGCATAAAACTTGCTCGGCCATTCAAAGATACTCCATCCAAGGCATTCCTTAATAAGAGTAAAGGGTGAGCACTGTACTGTCTCTGTAAGTTTCCATACTTGTAAAATATGAATTAGGAGTTCATAAAATGCTTGTAAGGCGTCATTATTAAACACATTCTGACTCCACTTATGAACTTTTTTTGTGCAAGACTTACTGTACTACCTAATATAACTAAAGCTCAGAGTTGAGTGTGGTAAGGGTATGTTGTTGCTGGGAAGCCTGCCGTCAAACCGCTCTGAATTCTTTGCATTATGTTTTCACCCGCAATTTGCCTAAGCTACATCTTGAAGCTTTTGAGGATTTATTAATTTGGAGATTTGCAATGAACACGACTTTCAAACAAAAGCATTTGATGGCGCTAAAAAGCCACTTTTATGGTTTTATGCAAACAAAGACCTGCAATAGAGTAGAACTCTTTTTGTGGTGAGAACGATGCGGTAAGCTTTAGGCAGATTTGCAAGAACGTGATATTTTCCAATCGCCTGCCGCCGCTCGCAACATCCTGCGGTGGCTCTTGACTAAGCAAAGAGCGAAAATGAAGGCAAATAATTGTCGCTTGCGTAACGTGTTCAAAAGTCATTGCTGCTGTGGATCGCCGTGCGAAAAGGCCGTTCTTCTCGCGGTCACACAAAATCGAATGTGAAGTGAGTCTATGCTTAGCGGAATCTCACACCAAATGCAGTTCTGAGGGAATGAGCTAGAGTATGAACGAGTGCAGCAGCACTCGGTCATGCTTGTCGGAAATTTATCGTTTAATGGCTGCCAAATAATGTGTATAGTCTGCGAGACGGCTTCGAGTTGGACACAAAGAACAAGGCAAATCGTCCATCGTTTTTGTCGCTGTAGATCTACGATAGGACTTTAGAAATTTTTTTGAACTATAGAATGCCTCATTTTGCCTTAGAAACGTGCTTTTTCAACCTTGATGTGATGCGGTAGAAATGAGGAAAAATAGTACCAGGCACTGCAGCTACTAGGTGGTAAAAAATGTGCTAAAATTTTTTCGTATGAGTGCTACCTTGATCGTCGTTCTTGCTTTCTTGTTCTCAAAAACAAATTTGTGTTAACAACGGCACCTATATCTGCTCGCTACGCATTTCTCGATGATATCTATAGCAATTTTTAAGCTCACACACCTACGCTTTTTAGATTATAGTGCAACAACTGCAAAATGTCAAAATCAGGACAGAGAGTGGAAGACAAATCCGAGCAGAAATTCCCAAATCCGAACGAGAAAGGTTTGATTTTTTGCTGTTATTTTCTCACAACACAAATAATTTTGAGACTTCTCAAATTATTTGCAACCTTCGAAAATGAAGAGAAGACGCTAAAAATTGACAGCTTTGGTTTATCTGCGAACGCTTTTGAAGAAGCATTTCTCAGGTATAAAAGCAAAGTAGCTGCATACTATGCTAAGCATTATATTCAGAATCGGCGAAATTAGGGACAAAGCTGAAAACAAAAATATAGAGTTTTTAGAGGATCCGCGCTATGCTGAACTGCAAGAAAGTAAGTTTTATTTTTTGTATTGCTATGTACAAGTCCTTAGAAAATAATACTTTGCAGATAATGTTGTTAGAATTCTGCAGCAAGCTAAATACATTTGGTTGAAGAAGTGGTGGAGTACGATCTACAGCATACCTTTAATTGTAGAACAAGTATTCATCCTTTCAACTATTTTCGCTTTGCAAAAATACTTTCAACATACAATACAATATAACTTAAACTCAATAGAATCGAATTAGCAAAAGCTAAAAACGGGCATTCCACGAACGGGCATTTCATTTCATGCTTTTCTCTACCAGATGAGTAGAGAAAAAGGTAGCTGAAAGTAGTAGCTGAAAAAAGCAGCCTTAAGGGTTGGTCAAAAGTATAGGTCCACCTGGAGTTTTTACTGATCGAAGCACTTCTTAGCTTCTTTTTTTGCCTTGAAAATGCTTTCACATGCATTTCGCTCCAGAAACCTGCGTTGACTAAGAAATTCTGCAGTTTCTCAGCTGAAATGGAAGCGGCGGGGTTTGACCTACCTTCTGGATGTTTTTTGAAGTGAGCTTTGAGGAAAAAACTGGCTTTTTGCTTATAAAGCAAATCCGACATTGACATTACTGCAATCCTGATTCAAATTTCTACCTCCAAACTTCCTTTACAATGTCCTTAGAAGCATCAAAGTAAAGGCATTGCTTCTACAAAGGAAGTCCGCATTCCATGATTACAACTTTCTAGAGATTACCATGTACAATTACTGAAGACACCCTGCAGAAACTGATTGCGACAAGCACCTAAGCTAATTGTGGCTCTGACACAATTTTTCAGGGGAATCATGTGCTAACATACAATACAAACTGTATCCACTATCAAGCAAATAAATTATGTCAAAAATTTAAGTGAGGTAGCACACCATCATTACGCTGCACAACTCATGTTTCAAAACAAGAAGCAAAGGCAGCTATGAACACTTGTGAGTATGGCGTAAAGTTTTATTCTTGTGTAAAAAATGTTTTTACAATATTTTGAGGTTATAATGATAATGCATAGAGAGTTTAGGGCAAAAACTGAGGCTCAGGCTCCCGATTAAGTCGATCTCGGATTTGCTTCAGCAGCAAAAAGCCAGATTTTTTCACCGCCACGACAAAAAATATCCAGAAGGTAGACGAAACCCCGTCGCTTCCAATCCAGCTGAGAAACCGCAGAATTTCCCACGAGCAGGTCTCTAAAGCGAAATTCATGTGAAAGCAATTTCAAGACAGAAAAACCAGGTGATCGGTTCTTTTGAAGGTATGACACAGCTTGACTAAAGCAAATGTCTAATGCTTTTGTGAACCCACCTTAAAAAAATCGGAAGCTGCGAAGTGCTTCAATCAGTAAAAACTCCAGGTAGACCTATAATTTTGACCAGCCTTCAAGCCTGCTTTTCTGAAACTTTTCGATTTTTTTCGTGGATAGCCAAGCGAAAACGAGACTCGTTCTGATGACTGATAGTAGGTTGGTGAACACACGGCTTTACCAAATTTTAAAACATTTTAATAACAGCATAAGTTATGCCGTTTTTTAAAGTAGACCTATAATTTTGCCAGCGCTGTAGTAGTAATTATTATCTAGATTCCGCTAGCTGTTTTTATCATTTTCCATAAAAATGCGTTAATGTTGCTCGCCTATTTGCCTGTCTATCTCGTCGCTTTTGAGGTATTCTGTAGAGCTCTCTTCAACTTGGATTTACAGTATACAGCAAATACTAATCGCTTTTCTTTGCTTTACCATCGCGGCATGAACTTTTAAGAAAATGAGCCAGCAAGGGCACTGTGACTTTGGGAAAGAACAAAATAAGCTAAATATCTCACCGGATTGGTCAGTGTCGCTGATTTTAGATATGAAATCAGGGGCGGTATGCATCAATCTCCTTTTTTGAAAGAGGGCGATCATTTTTATACTTTATATCATCTAAAACCTCTTGATGAGGAGAATCTAACCTTTGAATAGTTGGAGTTCAAAAAGCGGTTTTTTACCTGTTTTTTTTTCTGAGAGCCTGAATCTCAGCGGTATCTCTAGATCGGTACGGCTAAGATATATTCTGATAAGGCAAACCTTACGCTATGAAACATATGAAGTCGCAACATTACACACTTTCGCATTCGTATATGAGTTTAACTGTCAGCTGTCAATAAACACGCAAAAATGGCGTAAATTTTTAGAAGTCTGGTTTTTGACGACCATCGCTCAAATCGACCTAATTTATTCACTATCTGGCAGAACAACGCTTAGCCTTCAAAACCTGTGAAGTCGCAACTGCTGACATCTTCAAACGACAGATTTATAACAGTGGAAATTTCGCATAATTTATCGTTTTTTTATCATTCAAAATTCTGGTTCTCGGCCGTTACTGCCTGGATCGACCTACTTTCTTCGCAGTACGTTACAACAAAATTTACTCAATAAAATCTGTAAGGTTTCGCTGAGTTCACTTCAAAACACATCATTAGCACGTTTATTTCAAACCAGTGCATCACCTCTGCTTCGCAGAGGTTCGCACTCCTACTTTCTGTATGCCTTACTCATTTCCGCATAATAATGGCACTGAAACTCACCGCGCTATGCAGGCTATCACGAATGATTTGTAAAAAACTACTCATTCCTAAAGCTTTTTCGTGTGAGATCGGTATTTTCGCGTGGATGAGACTTCTCCCAGAAGAATAGATGCAAATTTGATTCGGTTTTTGGGTTTCTTATGGCTTGGCAGTCGCCATAAGGGCAATAATCATCGTGGGCTACATCTCTGTGCAAAAATCTCCTCAAATGGTCAAATAAATTCTTGGTAAATTGAACATTTACGCAACTAATTCTTTTTCGCGCCAACTTCGTAAAGTTATCAACTTTAGTTCAGTTTTCTGGGCTAGGGTCCATGGCTTCCACATTAGCTTGTCAAACATATCCCAACTTCGCAAAAAGTGGTGGTACAGGCCCAATTTTGCTGGTCAGAAGCAAAGTGGATCCGTTTGACGCGCGATTTTTGAGGGATCCAGTCGGCGGATCCGCTCGTGCTTTCGCATAGTGTACTTTCACGCTGCTCGCATGCGCTATGCAAGAAATGGGATCAGGACGTTGGCTGGAACATGCTCCTCGAATTTCGTAACGGACAGACAGACACACACACAAAAAAACGTAAACAACCTTAGCCCGTTATTATAAGTTATGATACCAGTGCGTCACCTCTGCTTCGCAGAGGCTCGCACTGGCTGTACCATCCACATACCAACTTCGTAGTTGCATAATGATCTTTGAAACTTACCTCGCGATGCCGATCATCACGAATGAGATGTAAACAACTACTCATTCCAGAAGCTTTTCCATGTAAGATCGGTGACTTTAAGGGAAAGAAAGTATTCTTTAAAAGATTAAATGCGATTTTGAATCAGTTATTGAGGTTATAATGACTTGATACTCGCCATAAAGGCAGTGTCCTGGCAAAAAGTCGATTTTGAGATTTTGTGCTTACTGGGGCCTATTCGCTATGCTGAATTCGAAAATCCACACTGGAAAGCGCGAAAACGGCGAGAAAGGGCTCTAACACAAGAGTGAAATTAAAAGTGGGCGGGGTCCTCCCCACGGTGAATTCACGGTCCCAGCTTCCGGAGCGATCTTTTTAATTCCGCTTACCGTTCTGACATCTCTACAGACCAAATGCGAACGCATGATCTGAAATCGGAAGCGAGAAGATCACTCCGGAAGCTGAGACCGTGGGGAAGACCCCGTCTTTTTTTGATTTCACGCCTACGTTAGAGCCCTTTTTGGCAGTTTTCGCGCTTTCCAGTGTGGATTTTCGAATTCAGCATAGCGAATAGGCCCCAGAAAGCACAAAATCTCAAAATCGACTTTTTGCCCGGACACTGCCTATAAAGATGATGGCAACCGCGAATTACATCTTTGAGCAAAAATTGTCTCGCATTCCCAGGTAAAACCTTGACAAATCGATCATCTATGCAATTATTCCTTTTTGGCGCCGATCTTACGCGAAAGCAAACTTTTTGCTCACTTTTCGGGCTAGGGTCCATGGTTTGCGGATTTACTTGCTAAACGAATTTATGACTGTGAAAGAAGTCCAATTACAGGCCCATTATGGCGCGCGAAATGTCGCGTGGATCCGTTTGGCGCACAATTTCACAGGTTCCAATTATCGGATCGGCTTGTACTTTTGCACATTTTACCTACCTGCTGATAGGGTGCTACCACCAAAATTCTAGCTCAAGATCTTTGCTGGAATCGCTTTACGAATTCCGTGACAGACAAAAATTCACACACACACACACACACACACACACACACACACACACACACACACACACACACACACACACACACACACACACACACACACACACACACACACACACACACACACACACACACACACACACACACACACACACACACACACACACACACACACACACACACACACACACACACACACACACACACACACACACACACACAAACGTAAACAAGCCTTAGCCCGTTATTATAATTTACCAGTGCATCACCTTCGCTTCGCGGAGATTCGCACTGGCTCTCCTATCCGTTTGCCTTTCTCATGTTCGCATAATGATAACTTTGAAACCCACCATGCGATGCTGAACATCACAGATGAATAGTAAACAACTGTTCATTCTTGAAGCATCTCCACGTAAGATCGTTAATTTTGAGAGAAAAAACTTGTTGCAAAGGAACACCTGCGAATTTGATTAGATTACTGAATTTGTTTTGGCTTGGTAGTCGTCATTAGGATAATAGTCACTTTGAGCTAAATTTCCGTGCAAAAATCTTTCCAAGTCTGAAGGTAAAACCTTGCCAAATCGACTGTCTAAGCGACCTCCACTTCTTGGCGCTATTGTCGCAGATAAGCAAACTTTTTGAGCACCTTTTGGGCTAAAATTCATGAGGCGCAGATGTACTTGTCAGGCAAATCATGACTTCGCAAAAAGTCGAATTAGTTTAGTTTTTAGTCGACCTAGTTTTGCCTGCCAAAAGCCTCGTGGGCGCGTTTGACGCGCAGTTTCTAGGTCCCAAATAACGGATCAGTTTGTGCTTTTGCACTTTTTACCTACATGCTGGTAGGGTGCTATGACCAAAATTTCAGCTTAAAACCTTGCCTACAAAACGCTCTATGAATTTCGTGACAGAGAGACATAAACACACAGACAGACAGACACGAGGTTTATTATAAGTCATGATGATACACAATACCGCTCATAATTCGTCAAAAAAGGCGCCGGACTGCGTCGCACTCCGCCACACTCCCTCGCAGTGCGCCGGAGTCTGGCAGAGTGCGCCGGAGGGCGGCAGAGTGCGCCACACTCCGCCGCAGTGCGCTTGAATGGTCGTTAATATAGCCATATCTCGCTTCAGAATGGACGAATTCTAAATCCGAGGACACCTTTCGATTTAGCTCTTCGAGACGCATCATCTTATATATGAAGCTGAACGTCTGTTTGTCTGTTTGTCTGTACGTATGCTCCGAATAGAAAATTCCTTTTCTGAACCGATCCGGACCAAACTTGGCAGCATACAACTTCGGGCCCCGGCGGGTGTCATAGGCTACTTTTCGTCATCGATCGATATCGATTTTATCGATTTTTTTGCAGAGTTCACCTACGGGGTGGGAGTTTGCATAGGGGGGCAATCGAGCATGGGAATTCCGAATACAATATTAGTTTTCAGGAAAATCGATTATTATTTTGGTTGAATTAAGTGTGCTGATAACAGTGTTACCATTGATCTGTCGCTGATGACACATAGACAGTATACTATAGGAGTATGGTAGAGAGCCACTCTGATCGAATTTGTTCTAGGATCTGCTCAAGATCACAATACCGCGACAGAATGTCAAGCCGTTAGAAGTTAAGTGTAACAAGACTTATGTAACAACCTAATACTATGATGCCGCCTATCTCATGGGCACCGATACGTGATACATGAGCAAACGATTGGTGATTTGCTCCATCTCTTGCAAAACTAAGTTGAAGCCAGCTTTACTTTTAGAATGGTATCTTAAAAGAGTGTCTCATTTCCAACAGATCACTGAAGGGCGGGCTCCACATTCAAGCTATAGCCACACTGTTGCTGGAAAAACTCGCTTTTGTAAAGAGAAAATTGTTTCAGAAGTTTGGACATAGCACCCCCTCTATATAGTCTCGTTTCTTACCGAAGCAGATCGTGCCGGGCATGCTGCTGCAAACACTGACAGCTTCGAACGAGACCGAATAAAGGGCGGTTTTTGTCCGGCTTTTTAGACCGGTTTTTTAGCGTCGTAAGGTCCAATTTGCAGCCACAGTCGGGCTGTAGCTTGTGTGGAGCCCGCTTCTGGAATCTGTTGGAACCGAAGCGTCCAAATCTGCCCTGGCACTGCCTTTAAAGACGGCGAAAGACAATAAGCAAATAATTACAAACACCAGAAACCTTTTTTGAGACACTCTGTATATCTGAAAATATTGCACTATATGCCTATGAAACAAATGTTTCAGCAACTAGAACTTGTCTAAGAGTCTATCAAAAGTGTTGTGATCAATGTGCATGCTTTTTTAATAATAACCGCTAATAGCGCTATTGTTTAGCTACTTCGCACTGACTTCAAAGATAAATAATCACTTGTTTTGATAGCGCAATGTTTTCAACTCGATCATTACAACTTTTTCAACCTTTGTATGCTTGAGTTTACTCCAATCAAGTCTTTCCAAAGTCAGTCTTTCCAGATTTTATTGCCTATCACGCTGATGGTTCTCTTGTATTTGTTCCATTCAAGAACTACTGATAAGAGTGCTTTATCTTACACTAAGAGAGTTATAGGAAGTCAGTTCTACTTATGAAAAACAACAAGCAAAAAGCCATAATACTCATAGTCCCCGAATTGTCACTCAAAATGTTTGAAAGTGGCCGGTTTTTGATATTTGACAAGAATAATAATACAACAAAACAAGCATTTTTGGAGGAGCTAGTGAGAAGAAAGTACCCTCGCTTAGAGGTGAGGTAATTGCTGCTTTTTAAAAAGGCTTAATAATACATTCTTAAGTGGTAAGTTCCATAGAATATCAGTACCTGTAAGCAGTAAATCTTACGAGTGCAAAAACTTAGCTTGTGATTTTTGACAGTCCTTACTGGATTGATGAATGTCACTAAATTTTTCATTATCAGTTGGCACCGTTGAAGTAAAGGCAGAAAACTGCCACGCCTATTGCAGCTCTTTACCAAAAAGTACAGGACAATAAAAATTTTCTGTGCTCGCGATAATCATGCTTTTCAAAAGAGTTTCGATTAGCACGAAAAATTTTTGGTAAAAAAAGTAGGTCATAATACTTACTGCCAGTCTTTTTTTTTCACCTATCATCGAATTTTTGATAACTCGACATCACTACAGTGCAAGCGATCTTGTTTTACGCTAACATAACAGTAATCGCTTATCTTAAATGCGCCCTACAAGGCTTTACAAATTGTGAATTCTAAAAAAATTTAGTATTTGTCCAAAGTTAACAGACTTTCAAAAATGTTACGATGGTTTACCGAAATGATTTTTAGACATTTTAGGAAATGCTTGAGGTAACAATTCAATGCACAGAATTCATTTGCATACTTGAAAGAGATGAATTTAGAGTTATGGTATTTAGGCTCAGAATATTAGAAAGATATGAGGATACGGCGGAGGAGCCCCATTTCCAAGAATCAGTAGCGAAATTCTTGAAAGTCACTACATGGGTTGTAGGAATGTGCAATTGACTTGCTTATACTCGTATAATTATTTTATAGTACTTAAGGTTTCTTGAAATTAAGACCTAGTAAACCAATTTTTTGTAGCGTGGCTACCGCAGCACCCCGTTTCTAAAATCTTAGGGTTATAAGTCGGCAAATTTTCTGGAAGTATTTCAAAGGGTTTTTTTGAAGTGTCAAGAAAAACGAAACGGTAGAGCAATCTACTGTAGGCGATTAATTTTGTTGATTACCTATTTTTTGGTGTACTTCAATACATTTTTGATATGTTAAGCCTGTATCTTTTGAACCCTTGCTTTACTTTATAAAGTGTGTTGCTTGATCTGCTAGAATAGCAAAATTTTCAGATTGTGATTTCTGACATGAAGTTCACACCGAGTACACCAAGTTCTACAAGAACTTGGTGTAAGTGAACGACGCTTGAAAAAAGGATTCAAAGAATAACTTATTCTGTTGAGAATTTACTTTGTATAATCTAATCCTAATGGCGACTGATACAGGTTATGAAATACGTTTATGTCGGAGAGGATATCTTGGCAAAATGGCCTAAAAATTATCCATATGCAGTTGGTGGTGTCTTTTTGAAAAGCAGGGAAGATATTATCAAAGTTAGTGCATAGAAAAAAGGACATTCGAAGCTTTCAAACTAGAGTACTTGTACTGCTTCAGAGTTCGAGTGAATATGTCTGGCTGCTTTCTTATCTGCCCAGATCCAGAGATTTCTTTTTTCCCTTCGTTGGTCAAATCGAATTCGCAGGTTTGATATTATGTAATTGTTGTTAGCATATAATTATACCAGTGAAGCACCCCTCCTTCGCGGAGGTCTGGCTCTGCTATCTGTATGCCTTTCTCGTGCTCGCATAATAATGACTTCGAAGAGTGATGCTGAACATCACAAATGAAATGTGAAGAACTGTTCATTTTTGAAACATCTCCGTGTAAGATTCGTGATTCTAAGAAAATTAACGAGTTTGTGTTGGTTTCTTGGATCGTCATAAGAATAATAGTCACAACTTTGCCAGCTTAAACATCTATGCGATCACCATTTTTTGGTGCTGTTTTCGCAGAACAGCAAAATTTTTGAGCACTCTTTGGGCTAGAATCGTGGGGCGCAGATTATTTATTTCTCAGGCAAATCATGACTTTCCAAAAATACGAGTCAGCGACCTAGTTTTGCATGCCATCGTCGTTGACGAGACTATAAAGAACAACTCAGTTTTCTCACAACTGCTCAACAACGAAGCATTGTGAGACGTATTCAACGAGAGATTGTGACTTAGACTATGAGGTATCTGGTCCGGCTGCGTAAGTCAGGCTTTTGCGTCTGCCAAGAAATCATGATTTTCATGACAAACAAGTTTTTGTGGCAAAGATTTTTTTTTCTTTATGAAAATTATAACAGAAGCGATATTCAACGAATGTGTAAGCAAACCGTACCATACAGTATGAGCGTGTACGATACTCAGACCCGTAGGTACATTTCCTCTGGAGAGAGGAGAGGGAGTTGCGAATGACACGTCGTATCTCAATATTTAAGATATCTGTATTCTTTTCTGTTGATGTAAATTATGAAGGTGTTTATATCCTGATACTTGGGCATAACGGATGCTAGGAGGATGCTATACATGAGATTTACTGCTTTGTGCGGTGCCGTAAAAATCTCTTTGGGACCAATCTTTCATTTTTAAAGTTATGTCTCATTATAAAGCTCAGGAAAACGGTGTAGAATTGTACTGAGAATTTATTTTGCAAAAGTCTTCAACGTACAGTAAAATAAAATAAATTGATGACATTGCCTGATTGATTCTTTACTAAAAAGCGGAAAATTTTAAACCCAAATGTGTTTGCTCCATAAGGCATTCGAACAGTTTCCATTCACCTTGTAAATTCTCTTCTAACTCACGCTATTAACGCCCGGTATACTTCCGTCAATAAAGTCTCAATGAAGCGCCGCAAAATCCGTGAAATCCAGTATAACTTTGTTTGAGAAATTCCTTCGCAAATTTTGAATGCATTTACAATGTGTACTATGGGAAACGTAACGACTTTTGTTAACGACCACAAAATTTCCAGGAAATCAAGCATACTTTTTCGGTCCTCCCACAATTAAACTATGCGCAAACGAGAGAAGCTACCGTTTGGTTGTGATAATCGTTGCTACCTCCATAAGGTTCATAGTGCTTTCCTGTCGCTTTCTTCAGGAAAATTGAGAATAAAGAATGGATGAGTGATTAATACAAATCAATGTTGATACTATTGCATAGCCAAAAAGCTGCACCGTCGTGACTTCAAAAATGTAGTTAAACCTCTTGGTAGGTCTACAACAAATTGTCACAAAAGCAAACACTGCTTTTTCCTCAAACTAATTGATCCTTCTATCTCTTCTTCCTTGTTTTGGTCTTGCCAACCTCTATGACTAATTTTAACGATTTCACTTTTACAATACGAAGCAAATTGCCGATCACTTTTATTAGGTTACGGTTACTGCAGAAACTCCAGCATACAGCGTCATTGTGATTCTTGCCGATTTAAAACAAGTAACGTCCTCAACTTACAATTCCAAATAGCTGAGCTTTTGCACACATTTTTGAAGGACATTGAGAAAACAGTCATCAGGTATAAATGGTGTAACATCCGCGAAACAGTGCAAATCTCACATTTAGTGTCAGCGTTTTTGATTAGTCTATTCTATTATAAATCTCTTAATGTCGCTTGTTTTGCTTTGCGCAAAAAAGGCCATTAATTACTGAAAGTTTCTGCCTTACTCCTACAGTAATGAAGATCAGTAAATTGGTTCATTCTGCAAATTCAGTTCGGGCCCAGCTCTACAGAATAATACGTTAAGAGTGGCAGAGCAGGTTGTACCAAATGCCCAGTGAAAGTCTTGACTCTATTACAAAGCACATAATGTACATACGCTCTTGGAAAGTTCTGTCATCTTGCTCCGATGTTTTCAGAGTTATCAAAACAAAAGCTTGGAAGGCGGTTTGAACGAAAATGCAGCATTAATCTGTTGTTCTCAAAGACTCTAAAACAAGCTAGCTAACTTCACTCTGAATGAGTTCAAAAAATGCTGCTTACTTAACCATGATTGTTAAAGATTATTTTACTTTATTTTACTCGTACAATCAAGGTTCAGCATAAGAAAGAAAACATAAAAATACAATGCCAGCTAAACGAGATAAATATGAAATTCATTTACTCCACCTCAAGCCATTTTTTCAAAAGGCTCTCTATGTAGTGCTTCAATTGATTTTTTTTTCGTACAGTACGTGAGGGCTGCCTACCTGCCATCCGTTGAGAAAAATAAGCACGGTGGATCCAGTTTGACATGCTATCGTGCACTCATTTTCGGTTGTATGCGAGCATTCAAAGAAACAAAGGCTCTTTGGCCACATTTTGAAAAAGCCAAAACGTCTGTTAGGAGCACGTAGTAGCTACCAGCCGTATGTCAAAAACATTTGATAATGTTGTCTGAATGCAAATCTAATTCCGGAGAAATCCCGAAAATTGCGTCAAGCCGCTTGCGTTTGTCTCGCCACTTAGCCACTCCCATATGAACTTACTTAGCGTAGTTTGAGGTTTTTGGGCGCAAGCAATCAAGGCACTGATCCAAAGTCTCCCTTTGTTTCGCGGCATATATTTTCAAAATTTCATTGTTGAAAAAGATTGCGACGGGCATGATTTTTGCGTTTCATCAAGAGACTTTTATCTATTCCAGTTATGTTCTGTCTTCACTTATTTTTCATTTTTTTATCCTTCTCTTTCGATTACCTGCTCGGATATTAAATCTCGCCTGTACATGTTTTTGGACCACAATTGTTCTGGAATACTCCTAGTCCATTTTTGTGCACTTCAAGAATTCTTCGACAACAAATCAAGTCCCAATACGAAATTGGTTTTCTGTTGACAAGTGACTTTGCTGCATAAAGCGAACAAATTAGAAGTGTGAACATTTGAGAATCAACGTGTATATCTTCCTGAAAGGGGAGTAAGCGTAGCAGTATGAGGCGCCGCGATGACTATGCAAGCCCAGGTTCGATCCCGCCCTCGGGGCCATCCAAGCCCTCTACCCTCCGAGGTCGTTCAGTTGATACTAGAGTAATCTGAGAAAATAAAGACACAGACTTGGCGATCAGCTGGCCCCTGAAATTCACTATAAAGGGCTCGCATGCATTCAGTAGTCTCTTCGATTATGAAGTAGTTTGCGTTCGACGTATGCCCGCAAAGGGTGTTGAAGACGCCAAATCCTCTATTTTTCATATTTTTCATCCCAAAGTCGAACATCTAGAAAAAAACTGGATCCTTAGCATACATTGGCCTCACAATATACATCAGGCCAATTTATACAGACGCCTTATCGATGTGGGGAGGAAATTTTTTTAAGTCGGTATTAATCGTAGATATTATGACCGCTCTCGAAACCACATGCTTACTTTAGAATATACAATTTCTGGCAAAAACAACTTCCGCGTATCTAATTAGGACTCTCTGAAAACTGTACGTACTGCACAGGAGAAACGGAGCGGACCCAGCAATTTGATTCACGGCTAAACCTAATAAGAACATTTTTCGTATAAATAGCAACTTTCGACGCAAAAGCTCATCGTCCAATGTTTACGATGATTCTACTTTGAAAACTCAACATGATAAACGTTCATTTTCTGAACAAGGCGGTAGGGAAAAAAAGGGTACTTTTCCGTTATCCGGACCCATTTTCTCAAAGCAGGATATTGCTTCTTCCCTTGTACCATATTTCGTCCCGACTTAATAGGAGGGAGTGTCAACCTTCCTGCCACGTGTCAAAAAAAATTTGACATACCACTTACATGTTTAACAGGTTTAAACAAGAGTTTGATTTGCCCTACCTAGCGATGTAAATTCAATCCGTTTTTATTCAATGGTGGCCCTATTTTCGATTGAACAGTGTCAAAACGAGCATTGTTATCATAATAATGTCAATCTGTTACTAACTAAACAGATTATACTTGCCCAGAATAGAGAATTGAGCCAAGATCCCATCATCTGAGTGACAAAACAAGCAAAGCACAACTTGTCAGAAAACCCACGAGAGGTTCATCAATCTTGGATTTGATTTTTGCCAGAAGCGAGATGGTTTCCAAGATTCAAATACTTCCCCCCTTCTGCAATGCTGATCACAATATTCTCTCTTTTACAGTAGTCTTATCTGTCTCTGGTCGTAGCGATATTTCTGAATATTCGTCTGTACGTGACTACTCTAATGCAGATAAAGCATCCATCAAGGCCATTTTGAACAGTATAGACTGGTTCAACGTTTTCGATGGGTATGCTGACATAGACGATCTTTATGACCGTTTCCTGAATGTAATCAAAGATTTGATTGTTCGATTTGTTCCCTTCAAACAAAGAATTCCTCCCTTTTTACGATACCCACAGCACATAAAGAATCTGTTTCTCAAAAGGATGAGATTGTTCTTTGGCCTCCGAGATCCCTTGAGTGACACTGAATATAAAACTGTTTCTAAAGAGCTTTCGTATCAGCTGAGACGCTTTTTAAGACAGAAGGAAAAAAGAATGGCTAATAGGGCTTGTGGAAGTAACTTTTGGATGTATCTCAATAAACACTTGAAAGGAAGCAGATTTACTGGTCCTTTACAGGACAGTGATGGTTACATCTACCATACCTCCACCTCTAAAGCTGAAGCTCTTGCAGATCAATTCTCACGCGTTTTCTCAGCTCCTGTTGCCTCATGTCCATTACTAGAAAGCAGATCTCTTGAATCTTGTGCCCCAGTAGAAATTGATCCTCGCATGATAAGAAAACTTTTGAGGAAAGTAAGTCCAGCGGTATCGCTAACATCCGATGATGTTCCAGCCAGCTTTTACAAGATGTTCGCCAATGAATTGGCCTTCCCCTTAGCTCACATTTTCAATGTTTCCCTGATGATGGCAGAAGTTCCTCATCTTTGGAAAGCCGCTGTGGTCACCCCTCTGCCTAAGACCTCTAACCCCAGACTTTATGATTATAGACCAATAAGCATTTTGCCTACACCGTGCAAACTACTTGAAAAGATCATTGCAAAAAATTTGCTGAAATGGTTAGACTAAATGCAATGTCTCCCGGAGCAGCAGCATGGATTTTTGCAGGGCCGATCTACCGGTACGCAGCTTCTTGATGTCCAATTCGATTGGACAGAAGCGTTAAGCTTAAACCGATCAATAGATGTAGTCTTTTTGACTTAAGTAAAGCATTTGATACAGTAGATCACAACCTACTTTTGGCCAAGTTGGAGAGTTTGGGAGTTAGAGGCTTACAGCTCAGATGGTTCGAATCCTATCTTCAAGGCAGGACTTTTTCTGTTCATATCCTCGATAAAATTTTTACGGCAAGATTATGCAGATCAGGGGTTTAGCAAGGCAGTATCTTGTCGCCAATTCTATTTGTCATATATACTGCCGCTACCTAGCTTTCTCACCATAGACCCGGGAATTAGAGTAGCTGCGTATGCTGATGACATTAAAATTTATATCGCTTATGACCAGCATGATAAGGATAGAGCTAATGTAGCACTCCGCAATGCAATCTCTCGAATGATGCTTTGGGCTAGTAGATGGAATATCAAGGTAAATTACGCCAAGAGGTGCACAGTTCCCATTGGCAGAATGCCGTTTCATCCTAGAGATAACGTTGAACTTGAATGCAAATTTTTGATCAAAGATCTTGGTGTTTATACGGATTCTAAGTTAAAATATTCAAGTCACATAGATGAAATCTTATCTCGAAGTACTCGAACACTGTATGCCTTAATGCGCACTGTTCAGTCCTGTGACCCCGAACTTCTAGTGAGAGTCTATAAGACGTTTGTTCTGCCAGTGGTAGAATATTGCAGCTTTGTATGGAATCCTACATTGAAAAAAGACATTGATAAGATCGAGAAAATCCAAAGAACATTCACAAAGATTGTATTTTATCGTGCCTTCCCCAATCCAGAATATCCATCCGCCTTGCCGAATTATAAAACCAGGATTCGTAAATTGGGTCTCAGAACGCTTTTCTACAGGAGGCTTTGGCTGGCATTCTTATGGCTTTTAAAGTGCTGCGAGCCGAGGTAGGTTTGAGGCCTAGTAAATACTGAGTTTTTCGACCTATCAGCGAACGTAGAGCATCTCTTAATCTGCTTGTTTTTAGGTTTGGGAGGTACAACATTTCGCTACAGTCCAACAATTTCTTTTATCGAGCAGCTTCTTTATTGAACAAGTTGCCACCGTCTTTCTTAGCCGTAAACTCAGCAGTTCAACTGAAAGCATTGCTAAAGAAAGTATAATAGATATTCTGCAGCTATGTGGAGTTGATGACGTTGTGTGATTTGACATCTATCGCAGTTACTTATCCTCTATTGGCATGATCTGTTACGCATCTAACTAGCTTCATCTTATGCCTGGGAGTGAATTCTCTTGCTTCAGTTTCTGTTACTAACGATATGGTTTGCTGTTGCATTGTTGTTTTTCTAACCGCTCCTAGATAGTAGTATTAGCAGAGCACTTTTAGGTGCATCGAAAATAAATAAATAAATAGCGAAGAGCTTCGAACCATCATTTATAGTCTCATCTGACTAGATTCGCAAGGAGAAAAGTTTCAAAAAATAGACAATGATGAATCATTGCTGAAAACGATTGAGATATTCTGATTTAAGTTCTAGATTGTTTTTTTTTTCTCATGGAACACAATTAAACAGCTTTTAGGTGATTAAAATGCTCTTTTGTCTCACGGGAAGTTAGCTCGAAAAAACATGTAAAATGGACTGAAACGTGTTAATATTTTCCTTACACGTAGCAGGGAGGCAGTCCTCGTGGAGTCCGTGAAAAGTTGTTCTTAGACTAAAGATAGTATTTTATGAGCGGTTTTTGAAAAAATGGGTCCAGATAACGGAAAAGTACCAAAAAAAGTGTATAAAACCTTCAAAATAATCCTTGCAAAGTTATTTAGTCAGCATCTAATAAATACATGCAAAAATGCCTTCATACATCTCTACAACAACTTCAGCAAGCATTTATTGAATACTCGAGAGCTAAACAAAGTACAACTGCGCGAATGTATGGTGAACCTTTTTACAAGAAAGGTCCAATTAGAAATGACTCTTCCAAATGAATCTTACACCACTTTGCCTTGAGGAGCATCAAACGCTAATTCCAAATCTGATTTTTCACTATCTGCTGAGCGCCTCTGCATGACGAGTTATAAATATTTTTTGGAACGAAAAAGAGCGCATGATATGGGTAAAATCCAAACTTTGCGGACTTTTCAGCGCTTGAGGGCAGTGTCCCGGCAGATTTTGCATTTCCATCATTTGCGTGTCTTGGACCTTTTCGACCCGTATAGACTCCAAATATGAGCTTTGAAACGGATAAAAAGAGCTTTTCCAAGGCGTTTACTCAATTTCTAAAAAAAGCTCGAACGAGATTTTCAATGGAAAGTTGGGAGGCCCTAGCACAAAGACCTGCTGCCTGTAATTTTTGCTTTGGATAGCATGCAAAATGAGAGAGAGCGGTCCCGCGCTGAACGGTAAGCGAAGTCGTCCGAGCTCGCGAAAATTGAGGATGCGCGCGCCGGTTAAAGGGCTATTCTCTCGTCTCGGGAGGAACATCAACCAGCTGGACTCGCCTGGAGGTCAGTGGGATTGCCAGGAATCTCACCATAGCAACATCTCCCAAGGCGCCAATCTGCCGGGACCAGGACACCGCCTTTAAGTAGAGCAGTGTTAAGTATGGGCGTTTTAAACAGAATTTATTGCTTAAATGGGGTGCTCTGGTAATCAACATTGAACTATTTGAACAATTCTGACAAGTTTTGTGCTGATCACGCTTTGCAACTCAAAAAACGCTCATAACTCAATGTTCAGAGCCGTTCGGCGGATAACGAAGACAGATTTGAAATTAGCGTTCGATGCTTTTTCAATTTTATGTGAAAAGGCCTCTTCGACCAAACGACCTTCCTTTTTATGCTGTAGCATACGGCTAATAATTTGAAAGATTCAAAACGGTGAAAATGCTTGTGTTTCATCATCTTTTTCTCTCAGTATCTGAGCTAGAAAAACTTATAGCAATTGCGTACAGAAAGCTATGCTTCATACCTGTCGAATAAATGTTGACCATGCAAAGTGCTCACGCCTTCTTGTGATAAATACCCGACTTTTAGAAAGCTCAAATGGTCATATATGTCGATTTAACACCTTAGCGTGGATTTCTGCATAGGTGATTTCTTATAGTTTCTAGCTGCTGCTTTATGACTTTTTGTACTCGCCTAGACAAAAGCCACTATCGTTTCCTTTGCATTAACTTAATAATTGCTCAGCATATTGAAAGTGTTTAATTCATCAAAAAGTGAACATCAGCGCTGTTATTTTATTCGGTAACAACGTTTTCATTCAGTAAGCGCTCGCCTTTTACTCATACATGCATGGTATTTCCAATTAAAACTTCGTTCAGGTCAAATTGAACTCCACGCTGCCAAGGAAGTAATCAGAAGAGAGAAAACTGTATTATATGTACCCGGCGCCGCCGTAATGGGCCCTATATTGTATCTCCTAGCTGTGTTACTTCTTGAAACATCGTTTGTCACACCATTGATTGAAGAAAGATTTTGTGGTTTTCGACATCAGGTAGATGCTCAAACAATTAAAATTATATTAGCGATCCTATAGGTTGCTACCAAGGGTCGGGCATATATAGTGATAGGCAAGTAAGCATTTTTATTCTTGGCAACATTCCGTCTTGGGCAGAAAGCTTAACAATATTATTCTTCATAGAGACATTGAACTTTGAAAGAAAGACTCTGGTAGATAGATCTTTTGCTATGCTGTACACGGAGATAAATGTCGCGCGCACTGTACAAATTTTGCCCTTCTTGTTGCGGTGATTTTCCAAGTAATTCTTTGATCTTCTTCACTTAACATTCCAAGGAATGTCAGATTTTAATGTAGAAAAAGCTTTATTCCACTAAAACCCCATAAGCTTTCCCGGAGTATTCGATCTATAGAGTTTTACTGTCGGGGTAAACCTGCCTTTGAATCTAGTTCCCTTACAAGTTGCAGAAATCGCATTCGCATCTCCTTCACTTTATCTTGTCGTATGAGACTTTTCTACTCAGATAGAACTCGAATATTTCTCCCTAAAAGTTAAATATTAGGTTGATCCGAAAGTTCGCGCTGTTTTTCAGGCCCATGCTTAAAACACTTAGAATGAAGATAGACAAACGCTGTACAATATTCGATACAAAATTTCTTCCGTTTTTGCATGGGTTCATTCAACTTCCGCTCTAACCGGCAAGAATCTCTCCAACTCATGATTTTCATTCATCTTCAATTTGGTTATTTTTTAAAGTTCCCAATCTCAACTTTTGGACTGGCTTCGATAACAGTTGGATAGAATAAACAAATTGCAATACAATGAGCTATTTCGGCTTCATCAACTAGCTCTTTAGTATTTCTTAAAATAATTTTCCCAAAAGACCTTACTTGTGCGAAGTCGCATATTACACATCGCTTCAAGCACTCAAAAATGTTTGGAATTAGAAGCTTTCAAAAAAATTATTTGACCTTAGCACCAATCTAAGGGGTGGCGGACTTTATGAACGATAGCGCGCGCTAAGGCAGGCGTGTGTCAATAAGGTGCGCACCGTTAGCCCCGCCTATCGCAGGATGGACGAGTCTCTGCAGTACTGGTTCATGGCCAAGTTTCCTAATCAAGTGAAAGCAACTTCTGATAGTGAGCTATAAGCTTGTTGCAAGCTGGGGTGAAGCTTGGCTTTTTACAAAATTGTTTTGATTTCTTTTTCTTTTTTCTTTGCCAGTCAATGAACAGCTGATGTGTTGATCGTGAATTTCAAGAGATTTGCTGTTCTATCTATGAATGACCAAGTGACTCCTGGATATCCAACTTTGAAGTGTGAAATCAATCTAGAACACCTCAGGCATGATTGTCTGAGTGACCTCACATCTTACGACAACTTCACACGCAATCTCGATTGTGTTACAAATCGATTTATTTTGAGGATAGCAGTTTTTGGAAGCAAATTAAAAGTATTTTGTTACTTAAAGCAGATTCGAGAAAAAAATAAGTGATTTTGTGCAGTGTGATTTTCCTCTTCCTGAAATCTGAAAAACTTTGTGTGAAATGACCGCATATTTGTAAAACGAGTGATATCTTATTGTGCGAAACACTACCAAATGCAATGAGGTATTTATTGAAATTAATCCGCCTATAATGCTTGTTTTGAATTCTCGTCACAATGAAATCTGTTTTAGCCATGATTAGGGTTTCAACTTACTTTTCCGATAAAAGAAATAATCGTGTTGGTCATTTTAGCAATGATATTAACATTTCTCGATAAGCTGACTTCTTTTTGAACTAAACTTAAGAGTGCACAATAATCTTATATATAAAGCTGAATGTCTGTTTGTCTGTATGTCTGTCTGTATGTCTGTCTGTCTAGTGGACTGTGACATCCGCCGGGGCCCGAAGTGTATGTGTGCCAAGTTTGGTACGGATCGGTTAAGAAATGGAATTTTCTATTCGGAACATACGGCGGAGCCGGGTAAGCCAGCTAGTGTTCAATATAGTAACAGATGTGAATAAAAAAATTTCCTCATATTTACAATGAAGAATCAATTTGGACAAACCTACTAGGAACAAATAACTGAAATACATTGAAAAGTGCTTGCGAACTAATTGTAATGAAAAAAGATCCGAAAACTGATTTTTAATTTAATCGAAATTTTAAAATCTACTGTTATCCAAATTGCAACCAACTGAAGAAGCATGAACGAAATATTAGAGAGTTTTCCAATGGCTGCAACGCATTTCTAGGCTAATTAACAAGTAGGCGGAGCGATCAGCGCAACGCGTACGGTACCCAGCTGGCGGCTGGCACATGCTATCGTTCATAAAGTCATACACCCCAATCTAAGCAACCAAGTGAGTGCTTAGCGGTTCGAAAAATCGAACTCCGCATTTTGTGTCTACAGCCCGACACGTCTGAAAACAAAAATTGTAATGATTCCTCGAACATTATACAAAACAGGAAGAAAAGTAGTCTATCAGAAAGAGGGAAAAAGCTGCATCAAATGACACTTTGGTTGCTAGTCGTTTATTGTTCTGTAAGGATCGAGTTACCCAAAAATTTGATACATCAAAAAAAATATTCTCAAAAATTTTGAGAAGCCAGCTAGGGATGCCAAAAAAACTGTAATGTATTGCATTTTGTTTGTTCTATACAATATTATCAAAGCTAATCCAAAAGTTGAAAATAGAAATTTTGAAAATAGTCAAACTAAAAATGGAGGAAATTATGGGTTGGAGATCCCTGCCGATTATTGAGCGGACATCAAGGGAATCTGAACGAAAACACAACTATCAGAAAGAGGAAGAAATTGTCATCGGATAGTGCTTACAGCGTTTCTCTATTTTCATTCTAAATGGTTTGAGCATGGGTCTGAAAAACAGCGCGAACATTAGGACCGACCTAATAGATTTTCAAGTCATCGCTACAAACATACAAAATTTAAATTTTTATATAGCATAGTTTTTCAGCTGTGATCATAGGTTTTATAAACGTCCATACGCTTTCCCCTATCGAAACTTTCGTAGCATTATGCAAGTTTACCTTCGCGTTAAAAACAGTACCAAAACCGTGGAAATACGACAAGTTCAAAAAAATCAACAAAAGCTCCATGTTCTCTCTTCTCTGAACTTTGGCATTCGCGAGTGTGTTAGTAATTGTTATATGATATTATGCCAGTGCCAGGTTTGTACGGTGGAATTTTTTATTGGCCTTACGGATAATTTAGGCTTCGTCGGAGGCTTGAAAGTAGATTGCAGCGTTATATCTACGAAACCAGACCGCCAAACGCCTCTCCGCACTGCCAAGTCTAGACCTCGTTCCGCACTCAGCGTACTGAGACATGTTGATCAGAAAACGAACCTTTATCCACCGTAATGTTAGTAAGAGTCAATAGAGTCAGTACTTAGCCGCACCGAAGAGGCAGACTACACTGAGTCTTGCTCAGCGATCGACATTTACATCACTGGACGCACCTTATAAGTTGTTGCGGAGATAGAGTGAATTTCCTGCCCAACCAAACATCGTTCAGCTTTTTGCACTGTGCCTGGAATTCTTTCCTTGAAGAACGCTGGTATATTGTAGAATCGGAGAGGTGCGTTTCTGCGATCTCTCTATTTAACGTTTGCGGCATCACTACAAATTCAACCCCTTGTCGCTAATGGTGATACGGATAAGAGGTCCTCATCAAAGAATGTTTAAAATGTAACATATTCAAGTGGTCTGGGAGCTATTACACGCAGATCAAAGGATTAGCGATGGGACAACGTCTAGCCCCAGTCATTGCAATTTGTTTTATGAGTAAGGTCGAAAAACCAGTACTTGCACGCTTGCCATTGATGTATTGCCGTTACATCGATAACTGCTGCATTATAACATCGACGCAGTCTGAAATGGACGAATGCTTGAGAATTTTGAACGAGCAGTCACGGCACATCAAGCTTACGCGAGAAATCCGGAAAAAAGGATGGCTTTCCTTTCTAAACGCCTAAATAAGTTTGTGTGATGATACCATTCGCACGAAATGGTACAGAAAGGAAAGTTCAAAGAACATCTTGCTACACGTCAACTCAGCGCATCTGTCAACGACGAAACGAGCCGTTGTGCGCAATATGTTTCGAACTGCTGTTAGTGTATGCACGGGTGATCAAGAACGACCTGAGTCTAAAAGGTTGGCTAAACACAAATTGCGCATAGTAATGGATACTCACCACAAGATCTGCTGCGCTTCGAAGCTTACAGACGGTAGCCAAACTCGCGATAACAAAAGTACCCTTGTGCATGCCTTTTATTTCCGATAAATTCAGTGCAGCAATAAAACAATGCCAAGCGCGAACACAACTGCAGAATGATGTTATACTTGTGAGCATTCCGAATGTGAACATCAAAAAGCAGTTGGTAAGAAACAGACTCTACGACGCAGAACGTCTGTCAAAGCACTGCATTGTCCGTCCATATGGAAAACCAGGCGATTGCGCAAAGGCAGGAGTAGTATATGAATTAGAATGCTTAAAGTGTAAGGCGACATATATAGGAGAAGGGTAGACTGCTGAACGTTAGACTTGAGGAACATCTGGCGGCTAAAAGACGACCAAATGCGTTATCACCGTTAGAAAGACACAGGATTGGGACGCACAATGGCGATGAACTTGACGTTAAATGCACTATCTTGTCATACGAGGCAGAGATTACAGTAAGAAAGACCGTCGAGGCAGCGTCGAATTCTCTCAGAAATCCTAGCCTAGCATGAATAGCAGAAATGAATGCGTGTCGATAACAACCGAACTTTTGCGTATCTTAACGATCTGTGAGCGATAGCCCTGCACCTATATAGGTGTCGATCGCTGAGCATGATTCAGTGTAGCCTGTCTCTTCGGTGCGGCTAAGTACTGCTCTACTGCCTTTCACTAACACCAGGGTGGATAAAGGTTCGTTTTCTAATCAACATGTCTCAGTACGCTGAGTGCTGAACGAGGTCTAGACTCAGCAGTGCAGATAGGCCTTTGGCGGTCTGGTTTCGCAAATATAACGCTGCAATCTACTTTCAAGCTTCCGACGAAGACGAAATTGTCGGAATGTAAGGCCAATAAAAAATTCCACCGTACAAACCTGGCACTGGCATAATATTATATAACAATCAACAGAAGCTTTCTTTTCGAATTCGACTGCGCTCCAAACGATAGCAATCCCATTGAAAAAAATTTGATTTTTCACCAATTTTCTCAACGGTGACTGATTCCACACTGCCTTATTTTAGCTAATAATTTTGCAGTTATATAGAGGCTACTGCATGACGAAGGCGCAATAGCAGTATCAATTGAGTGGCGCAAACGCGGCGCGCGCGTATCCTCGCCGTTGTAAATCCCGGGCCTCCTGCGCTCTCGGCTATTAAAACAGCGTCGCTCCCAAAGATATTGCGTCCTTGTCATGCAGCAGCCTATACTTTCTGGAGTTATAGTGGTCTCAATTTCCATACACAAAATGTGGATCTGCATTTGTACCTAATAAGGGAATGGTCACGCGGCGTACGCAGCGCACGTCGCGTACGCTCCTATAATAAAACGAACCGAGCGTACGCTCCGTACGCCACGTCTCAGATAATCGCCGGGGGCAGGCGGTCCACAAACTCGCGCTTTTCTGCAGGCGGTCAGCAGAATTTTGGGGGCGTGGCCAAATTTTCAGCAGGCGGTACCTCCTTTACGGTCGAAACTCCTGCTAGCGGGGCAGCAACACAGAATTTTCTGCAGGCGCTCGTCAAATAATCTCTTTCAGCGAGCGCTGGTCAAATTTTCAGCTGGCGCTCGGACGGTTTTTAAACAGTTTCGGGTGTACGTCGAGCACAGGTAAGACTCTATGTGGCGGAGGTGTCACCGTTGGTTTAATTACTCAAGTTTGAGGTACTTTCTCTCAGCGGAAAGTACCTGGAGGCTGCGCGGTCCTCCACAAAGGACCGTGCGGCCCACGGAAATTTTCATATTCTCGCGGAAAGTCCGCGAGAATGCGGCCACTGCGCCGCAGCTAATCTGCAAGGAAACCGAATTTGTTCTTCAAGCATTCATTCAAAATTTCGCTAACATTCTTCCAGATATCTGCAAGCGGACCGCAAAAAATCAGCGAACTATTTTTCCGGTGCCCGCTTGCCCAAAAATGGCATGGCCGCCTGCCCCCGGCGATTATCTGAGGTACCCCGCATACGCTGCGTACTCTAGCTCAACCCTTTGGACTGAGTAAAAGGCAAGTACTGGTCCTCACGCAAGCATTGAGCTGTAACATCTTCAAGTTTTTTGGAAGATACTTCTTTAAGAACTGAGAACTCGCATTGGGCCAACGCTTAGCGCCGGTCCTTGCGGTGTGCTTCATGAGTAGAATGAGAAGCCAATGCTTGCGCGTATGCCACTGATGTACTGTCGTTACATCGATGATTGCTGTGTAATATAGTCTACTCAGTCCGAAATAAATGAATGTTTTAAATTGCTAAACCAGCAGTCCGAGTATATCAAGCTTACTCGAGAAACTCCACGAAACGGGTAGTTTCCTTACCTTAACACTCAGATCAACTTCTTCGGTGGTGTTGTCCATGTCAATGGTATCGTAAAGGAAGCTCTAAGAACATCTTGGTCCATGCCAAATCTGCTCACCCCCAGAGAGACGAAAAAAGCGGTCATTCGTAATATGATAAGAACTGCTTCGATGGTGTGCACGGGTCACGAAGAGCGGCTTGAGTCACGAAAGCTTGCATCAGCGCGCAGCAACGGATATGTATTGCAAGAACATCAGCGTATTAAACAGCATTCCGAAAATCATATTCGCACTCACTGCGACAAAATCCCTCTTTGCATGCCGCTTATTGCACGAAGTTAGCAAGGCAATCAAACAATACACTTATAGATATAGAGCCCAACTGCGGGATGATATGATGCTTGTCAATATCCCGAATGTGGAGAAGCTTGATGCGAAACTGACTTTATGATAGCGATTGCATAATGAAGCATTGTATTGTTTGTCCCTATGGCAGAGTAGAAGATTGTACAAAGGCTGGTGAGGGTGTACCAGCTAGAATGTTTGACTTGTCATGGCTGTTATATTGGAGAAATGTACAAAGGCTGGTGAGGGTGTACCAGCTAGAATGTTTGACTTGTCATGGCTGTTATATTGGAGAAACGGGTAGAAATCTAGATGTAAGGTTAAAGGAACATTTAGTCGGCAGAAAACGAGGGACACAAACAGCACCGTTGGGACGACATAAGATTGAAGCGCATGGCGGAAATGATTATGAAGTGAAATGTACGATTCTAACCGAGATATGCGCCAGAAACATTTTCGAGGTGCATGGATTAGTGTCAAAAATCCAGAGCTGAATGTCAAGAATAAGTGCTTGTCTATCAGTAGTGACTTATCTCCATTCATCATTATGTGGGCTTAGTGACCCACATGAAAGGCCTTGACTCACGAATGGACTCAGTGACGGCCGTTACCATCACACGTGCGGGCTTGTCGCTAACTGGGGTTGAGGTTTGTTTTCGTTTCCTGGCTTTGAGGTCTCATGCTGTAAGTCTCAGACTAAGTCTAGACTGACACAGTGAGAAGAGGCGTTTGTGGGCATGATGAGCAAGTTGAAAAGCCTACAATCCGTTTTCAGATCTCTGATGATGATGCCGATGTCGAAACGTTAAGTCAATGAATTCTCTACCGCAAAATCTGATTGACGAACACAATACACACACATTCTATCATTCAAAGTGTTCAGCAGATAAGGAAGACAGATAAGGAAGACAAATTTGGGGCCATCTTCGCATGCTACAACTAATGGTATGCAACTCACCTGGATCGTACTTCGATTTCTGACTATCACCTCATAAGGTTTTCTTTCCGAATGTAAACCGGGCCCAGAGAGTCGGTGTGGGGGTACCGTGGAGCATTCGGGAAAGCACCGATAGCATGATAGCATGTTACTCCGCGATGGGTACTCACTGTTTTCCCGGAACCTCTCGATCTGTCTTCCGGAGGTTTCCAAAAAAAACTGACTGTGCCTTAACTCTGAAACCCCAACTAAAGCCCCTAAAACCCCAATCAAAGTAGCCTAAAACAGTGAAACCCTACTCAAATCCATTTTTTATCGAAAGAGGAAACGCTAGATGACATAATACTACTTTTTCACACTAATGAACAACAAACAGCAAGCTGATACAACGCTATTTATTTATTCTAATAAAGCAATAAGCACAAGTTCTAGGGGTAATATCATAACAGTCGAGCCATAGAATTGGGGCAATCACACAAATAAGTGGCATAGAGTAGGTAAGAGTAATTGAGAACAGTAAGCACACAAGATCCTTTCGACATATGGTACTTGAAGCACGCGAGCTAGCCTTGGGCTCGCTATAATCCTTTTAAAATGAAAGCAACACTGGTATATTTTTCTAGAAGATCACGAAAAAGATGATATAAGGATTGGAATTGTAGGATACTCGTAAATTTAGTTAATGGCTGCGAATAACGCTTTCATGTCCGATGCAGTTCTTGCTGCAGACGAATTACGCATAACTTATGATGATAACCATCCCGTTTGAGTTGGGATGTCAATAATTCTCTAGCCCATGTCCAAAGTTTGCCCATAATATTAGGTTGTACATAACAGTATGTGATGTATGCCCTGCCCTTATATTGGCGAATGCGACCGCTGCGACCAGAATCTCACACTGAAGGAATATTAAGTGAAAGCTGAGAGGCAAAGGCATCATAAAAGGCAAAGACATTGATGGACACTTAACAAATAGACAGATAGAAATGAACCTTGTTTGTCGTGAAACCATGATATGCTTCCAAGTAATGTAAATCATTCCTTACCGATTTTCGTAACGGACAGACAGAGGTGAATAAGCCGTCATTATAAAGCATTGATTTATTAAGAAAGGACAACTTTTAAACAATATAAAGTGTTATTAATTGAAAGAAATGTTTTAGCAAATGTTAGCCGGTTTATCGCCGCTTGTGTATTGGACAGCAACCTTTTTTTGGGACGTTTGCTTGACAGGATCCGTCTTAGCTATAATGGTAACATTTATGAAGATTATTCTACAATTATCTTGGTGGATGCTTTTGTGAGTGTTTTATAATCCTTCTTGCCCTGCTATTTTTTTACTAACGCTTCTCTACTTATATTGAAAATTTGACACAAATTTTTACTCATCCGTCAATCTCGTGTGTTGCATTAGCAGCACGAAATCATTACGTGAGCCCACAATCTTGCGTCAACTGTGTCGGCTTGCTGCTTCTCAAGTTACAGATCTTTTTCTTTTCGAAAATTGTATTGTATAATCCGTCAAATTTTGAACAGAAAGGATTGTTCTTTAGAACTGTTAAAGCAAGAAATCGCTGACATTTTGCTGCAACAAGCTGATAAGTAGAAGCATCCAATTCTAAATATTCCAAAATTGGGACTAAGAATGCGATTTTGATCCAATTTCAATTGCAGTTTGATTGAAAGCACAACCTTTACCTATGAAAGAGAAAATTGTATGAAACTGTGTAAAACGAAAAGCGAATTGAGAATTTCCATACGATAGTCAGGGGAAAAACTCAAAATCTTGTCCTTTGACTGCGGTCGCCTTAGACACATGATCAAAAAATTGTGAATAACTTTGAATTAGATATGGCATACATCCGTTGTGCTGTGTTCCAATGCATAGTTTATTTACCAACGAAATCGCACTTTCTCACCTTTCTCTAATCTTTCAAAACCTCCAGAATGAATGCAAAATAAAAATCTATTTATTTTGCTTCTCATTTAGTTTGATCGCCTTCATAAACTGTGTGCTACTCGAAAAACGCTCAACAAAGAAGGTATTTAACTCGAAATGGCCTAACAGTAAGGTGTATACTATAGTGACCTCCTCGAAATGCTGATCACGAACATACTTTCCCTGTATTTTCGATACACTGAAAGAAGTTACAGTACCGCTCACAGAATGTGCAAAATTTTCATGAATGTCACTGAATTCCGGGAACTTCGCGGAATCCGCAAATCCCGCAACTACGTAGCGCCGTAACTTTCTTCGAAATGAATAAATTTTGAATCCGGAAGCAGCAATGTGTTCAACTCGTTAAAACAAATCTTTTAATGTACAGCATGTCCTCGATATACCGTTTCCAGTTTTCTTAAATTCATCTGCGAAGGTCCTTTCGCAAGCATGTAACGCAACGCCTATCCAACATAAAAAATAGGGATAAGTAGCATTTGATAGCACTGCTCATATAGATTATAGTGTGCTAAAAAGTAGCCGCAGACTTTTTGTTAAGGTCCATATGCATGTACATCTCCGTTGGGAAGGAGAGGGGGTCTGAGAGGGGATGCGTTATATCTCGCTACTCTACGTATCTTTCTTCTTTTTTCTCCATCTCGTTTATGAAAGTTCTCATACACTATACCTGTGCATTATGGATGCCAGATTATTTTCTTAAAAGATTGGTTTTTTTTTTTGCCATTTTGTGTGATCTCCTGGGGATTCCCAAGAAATCACTTCTCATTTTCACAATTATTTATCTTCCTGAGGAGTCAGTGAAAACGATGCAAACTTGTACTGAGGATATACTACGGCACTGCTAAAGTTGTTACCGAAAGAAGAAATTTAATCTAAAGACTGTGAATTCTTCTTTGTTCCTAGCTCGCGAGCAGTGGTTTATCGAAAATTCTAATATCCTGAGATTCTACTTATTTTTACTATAAAGATGCTTAGCACGTTTTTCATGTCTTTTGCCGAGCTTGAGGCACCATTCTGTAGAGCGAGGTTCAACTTAGATTTTGAGTATGGAGCGAATCACCATTCATTCTTCGTTACTGTAGGATTACGGTATGAACATCTAGCATGTGAATCTATAGTGAAAAATGCCATTTGACAAAATCTTTTTAAAAAAAAGGGAAAAAGGGAAAAAGCTGCCGTTTTAAAGTTTTTCAAAAAAAATGTGATAACTTGTGTAATGGGGTTTTTATGGACGCTGAGTTCAATACTCTACTATCCACAATGAAGCTTTTTAAACGGAGTAACCGCACTTTTAAGGAACATTGAAAAAATGGCCGCTACCTCTTACCTGGCATAACTCTTCAATGAAGCATCATAATAAGTTGAGAACTATACATTTAGAATCAGCAACTCTAACTAGCCTAGTGTAAATGTTTTTAGGCTGTTTCCCTCCTGAGGCAAAATATGGCCTCTCATGGCTCAACCCTCTTTGAAGTAATCCTACAGAAATGAAAAGAGATGGGTGACTCTTTTTATACTGCAAATCCAAGTTGAAGCCAGCTCTACAAAGCGGTACCTGAAGCATTGCAAGAGACTTGTTGGAAAGAAAGATATTAACGATCAAACAGTGTATACATACTTTACGGACACCCTGTATATTAGGTTGGTGCAAAAATAATGAGCGTTTTTCAATTTTTCACTTTAACTTGCTATAACTTTCTATAAAATCTACATTTTGAAATATGACAAAGACAATCAAATGCAGCGAACCTTTCGCAGTACAGCGCATTTGACCTATACTCATATCTCATATGGGCAGAAAAATATGGATTGAAAAACAAAAAGAGTTTTTTTTCTGAAGCCTTGTTTTTGACAGAACATAACTCCTTTGACACTTTGTTCTTAAGATTTATAAACAGCCTATCTTGTAGTCGCAAGCAGTAGTACAAATATACATAGAAACGGCTTGGAGAAAAAACATTAGCGAAGAGGGAAAAATCGAAATCCAAAAATATCAATTTTTTTAGCATTTTTTCAGTAGGCCTCAAAACCCCGAAGTAGAGAATTTTTAATTTTCTGCGTACTGAAAAGCTAAATGTTTTTGCAAAAACCGCTAATAGGACTCCTACCCTCACGCTTACAGAGATGAGCAAAGTTTGAGCGGGCTATGGGCTCTAAAGTGTTTGCAACCATTACCCATGTTAAGCCGCCGATACCTCACTTTAGATAACTTGAAAAAACATGGTTGAATATGCATAATGTAGACAATTTCCATTACATATAGCGGCTAAATTTTCGATAAGCCACCTTCATTCGCGCTCAAATTCTGGCCAGAAAAATGAATGCAACGAATATCTAATTTTGAGCGCGATTATGTGAAGCTCTATAGGTTCTTACAAAGTGGCCTAGAAGTTCCCTTCGAACATCGTCAGATAGAGATGAAAAGAGCTTTTTAACAATGTGCTGAAACCGTTGAAAAGAAAGACGTTTGATGGAGAAAAGTTGTCCTGAAAAAAGTCTTAAGAAAACGCTCATTATTTTTGCACTAACCTAATAGATTACAATTTTGCAACATTTTCGTTGATTTCTCAGGGAGATAAATGACTTTGAAAGTGAGAGGTGATCACCTGAAGATTTCCAGAGGATTCTCAGGATCATACAAAAAGGCAAAAAACCAGTCTTGTATGGCAGTAACCTGGCATCCATTACGCGCAGCTAAAAGGCTATAAGAGCTTTCTTAAGCAAGATAGAGAAGGAAGAGAAAAGATACCTAGAGTGGCGAGATTGGAACATTCCCTCATAGATCCCCTTCCCTGACTAGCGTGATCTACGTGCATACGGGTCTAAAAGAGATAGAAGCGCTGATAAACTCCACAAAAATGCGTATTTAAACTCTACTCGCTGTAGCTTTCTTTATAATGGATGTATTCCGCATCAGAAAAAATTGTGCTCAGCTCATCAAAATGTATCTTTTATATACACCACGTCCTTGATAGTCCGATTTTAGTATGCGAACTTCTCTTTGCAAGGGTGTAAAGCAGGGCCGCATTCGCCTAGTAGATTACAGCAGAAATATCGATAGTATTTCTTGCGTGCATTATGGAGCACCAGAAAGTGTCTGCAGATTTTTCTCTAGAGGAAATGGAAGGGCTGGTGAATTCTAGAAAGATCATGTCTTTCCAAATTTTACACACCATAACCCTAAAATATGAAGCTCGAGCTAAGCAGATGTGATTTTCGTAACGGCAAGTCGAAAACCTCTATGAGCAAGTTTTCCGAGACGTTCAGCTTATTTCATTTTTTATCGTTTTGACACTCTAAGCTCGCCGATGGATTTTGGTCAAAATGTTGATGACCTTGAATTGTGAGAAAACTTCGCTTATAGAGGTTTTCGAATGCGATCTTTACGAAAATCGTGGTCTTTGAGGATTACAGGGTCTTTCTGGATAGATACGGTGAGGTGACTGTAACTGAATCACGAAATTGCGTAATTTTGCCCGCACTTTTCGCGTATCTTTCAGAAAACTTGCCTGCTCGCTTCTACATATTAAAGCTAATAGAAGCTGTGCCATCCAGTGGTAACTTTTCAGGTTCCAGTCTATATAGCCAAGTTATGAGCTTACGAAAACTCGTCTTCATAAATTTCGCTTGAAATCTAAAGATCGCATACTTCTACCGTGTACATATAAAAAGCTGATCAAATTTGTTCATATCGCTTGAAAGAATTTTTTGTGTTTTTTGTGATAGATCTGAGCTCTAGCTACAAAACTGCTTTCAAGGAAACGTTACTCAGTGTCCGTGGCCTTTTGGGATGATGTATACCATCATACTCGAGAGCGGGTCAAGATCCTCCAAAGGCTCGCCGCTTCTTTTGCAGGCGCACCCTTCGTAGGCATTACTTCGCACCTCTCTCACACCTATCTCGCACATTTCTGCGTTGGTTCCCCTCCGGACAATCGCCTTATTTATCCTGGCGTAATTAGAAAGGTTAGCCGAATAAGCGACGATAAATAATTCCAAAAAAGAATGAAAATGTGGTGAAATAGACAATAAAATATGCAGAATGACAAAAAAACGCTTCTGCTAGTTGCAATCAAAATTTGATAGGTGAGGGTACGGTAAAAGCTGATCATGTTTTCTTGAGAGCGAGGTTTGAGTTACAACTATTCTTGAAAATAGACAGCTTCGGAAGACGGTTTCGAGTATTCGAATAAAGTATTGCAATGAAATTTTTTCGAAATTCGAATACCGATTATTTAAATTCGGTATACGAAAATTTCAAACTGCATGAAATCCTCCATTATTGATTAAAGTTCAGTTGATATACGACATATCAACGCAAAGTATTCGTTTATTCGAATTTTT